ACTGTCCGCGGCTACCACCAGGGGCAGAGCCGTCCCAGGCACCAGTCTGTCCAGACTGTCCACGGCCGCCACCAGGGGCAGAGCCACCCCAAGCGCCAGACTGTCCACCTTGGCCACTAGATGACTCCCAGTGGTACGACCATTTCCCGCCACCCATATTATCATTATGGTGAGCACAATCGCAATGACAAGGAGGTTGCCGCTCCCTGGTAGTAGCGGAAAGATCTGCTGCTAATCCATCCTGTGTTCTTCCAACGTTGGCTGCTTGGAGAACAGTCTGACCAGGCTCAGCAGCGGTGGCGAGAGAAGCCTGAGAGAATAAGGACGCGAGCAACAGTCCTACAAAGGGCTGTACGTCTCGCATATTGTCAGAATACAGATAATAAGTAATCAAGAAAAGATAAAACTAGAGGCAGCAAGTCCTGTGGGACCATTAGAATGGCTGCCACGAAGCCTCACGTACTTGGGAATATTTATAACCGACACCTGATTGACCTCGAGGAAGTAGGATACTGTTCTGGTACGTGTGCTACTACGTCAAGATGTCTGCTTGCAGCGATTCTGGTTCATCTTTAGGTCATGAATATCATCCAGTGGTAATCTGGACTTAGCCTTTTGCAACGAAGGGTGGTCAATAATGTCGGTTATCGGGACACCGTCGATGTGAGAGTTTAGCTCGCTCTCGGTTGCAGCCTGCTTGCATCATTGACAGAAGCAGCTCTAACAGTCCGCCAAATCCTCCTCCTGTAATTGTAGCTGGAACGGCCAAGCTTCGCGTGGTGGCATAGACCGTTGTATCTCTTTTTCCTGGTGACTGCAACCGGTAACATTTGCCTTCGGTCTGATGTCACCACCCTTTGGATAGTCCCATCAGTGTACATCTGACAGAGACCATGGTTATGTTTCATCTTCAGGGTAGTGCAGTCGAATCCGTCCATGCAGAAGCGCTGTGGCCGAAAGAACAATTCCGGCCGAGACGCATTCCCAGCTCGCTATTAGCTAATGCTAGAATGTGCCACGTACCTCTTCCATCCACTGGCAAACTTCGGGACATATTTCCCTTTCATTCCATCCATGAAAGGGTCGGGTCTTTCCGAGAGAAATATGATAGGTGTCATTCCTAAGCCGGCGAGGGATAAAGTGGCTAGCTGAGACGAGACATGAACTACCGTATGAACAGCACCTTGCATACTGATCTCGGGAGACACTTCCCCATCCAGCTACTGTAGCTCTGGTTTAAGCCACACTCTGTATTTGCCATGCTTTCCGGGGTGCTATTGCCGATATCGGTTTGGGCGAAAACGTCCCATGTTCACACAACCCAGAGTCTCAAGAGTTGCCCCATATCCTGACCCACGTCTTGATCTGGTCTTAGGGTTTCTCATTTTTGGTACCGCATAATACCAACAATATTCCGTTCATGAGGGCGTCATAGAGTAGCCGCTTCCAGAATGCTTACCTCTACAAATGCGAGTGATATTTCAAATATAGCGAGAATGGGTGGAGAAGGGCTTTGAGAGCGAGTCACCGTTTGCATAAAGCAAGCCCAAGATCGTTGCATCTACTTCTGGTGCTTTCTGGTACTGTACAGTTGCAAAGACGGTTACCTACAAACGCAAACTCAGAAGCTTTGCAGCTGCTGCCGAATTTGGATATCCGTCCAGCTCGATGATGCGCACAGTTCGGCTTCAAGAAGTAACGTCGATGGTGGTCGCTTGCGGAACTATCACCGTATCCCGATAACTCTGTAGTTGGTCAGAATCTATTATGTCAGTATAGAGAGGGAAGGAGAGGGAAAATACTATATAACGACCCATCTTGACTCAACATCTGGACGTACATCCAACACATCCTCCAATCCTCTACACAAAGCAACCTCTATCAGAATCCTCATCCAGGCTTAACGCACGCTTTTACCAGTATGCCCTTGGTTCCAAGTTCAATCCTGGAATTCGCTAATATTTTCCTTCCCAGAAAATGAAGCTCAGCATTGTCCCAGTCGCACTTTTGATCTCCTCTGCCGCTGCGGGCTCTATCGTCACGCAGCAAGAAGCAAATGACTGGTACCAATGCACAACCCATGCCCTCAACCTGGTGAACAGTGGCAAAGACGATAGTTCGACCACTTGTACCCTCTTGAACTGCCTGTCGGAGAATGCGGAACGCTACCAACGGGGTGGTATGTACGGAAAGCTGTCCGGAATCCTCGAGATCGCTTGCTTCGCAAAGAACATTCCCATTATCGGCAGCTTCTTGAAATAAATGCAACCTTTGGCATTGGCTCTCCCACTTCTCCATGATGCGGGGGTTTTTTTCCTCCCAGCCAGCTTGGCGGAGTTTTTCCCCGGCTTTCATGGAAATGTGGAGGCTTCGTGGTCAAGCTTTATGTACTTTGAAAATATCTCTTAATATTAATCTCACTTTTTGCTGACATGATTTTTATTTTCCTTTGTTTTTCTCTCTCTTCATTTTGCAGTCATGTAAACCTCCCAATTTTGTAACTCCTACGAGACTTACTCTGAAGCTTGGTGTAAACAGTAATCAAGTCACACGCCAAGCATGATGGACGTAGATCAGTCAAGACCTAACGACAGGTCATCTTAGCGAACGAGACATAAAAAAATTTTACAGGCTATCTCAAGATAATGGACCCACCCTGCTCTCAGCTCCGAGCATTCGGGGGAGGAACTTGGGAAGGGATGAATTCCTGGTTAGCTCCCGCGTAAATCTTTGGGTGAAACTTCCGTAATGCAAAAGAATGAATGTTATTAAGACTCGTATACTACCTCAGCAGATGGCTTCGCAATTCATTTTGATTCCTCCTCGAATTCTCTGGTCAGTAACAGCGAAGGTCGATCTTAAGGGTTGGGAAGGCCTCTTGCGTTCCCTGCTAAGGTGGCCTCGGACGAGGTATTGGTGGGATACCAATACAACTGCAGCCGCTGTGAACATGATGTGATACAGCCATTGAGTAACGTTTATCGCGATGTAATCATTCAAGTCGTCATCATGAATTTCCCAGACTCTGGAGTAAAGCACAGATGCGGTCGTGTGCCCTTCGATTTCATTTCCAACGCAGGCTATATCAAATCAAAAACGTGACTCTTCCTACTCAACGGCAATTGGAAGTCCGAGAAGAAGTTCAATTTGTCCAGGCCTGTATCCATGGATGGTGAGTGTGGCTGTTGGATCCGTTTTATTGACGGACTCGGGTCTGGAAAACCGTGTGTGTCTATTGTATTCAGTAGCTAATGTAATCGGTAGGAACGCGATGCATATAATTGGCACAGCGCCCAGGCTAGTGCGGCACCATAAGATAATATAATGGCCATCTTAACAATAAGTAGTGCAGAAATTATAATTTAGATCTGGCAGAATATTACCGGACCTACAAGATCCAGATACATGAATGTTAGGATAAACAATATCTCACGAGAATAATAACATCGAGAGGACTCAGTATTAACAAGACCATAATATGAAACATCTTCAGTGTTAATACCATAGCACTGACCAGCCAACACTTTGTGTACATAGATATACTTATCGCGTTGCATAATTGGTACCATAAGTAGATACCCTCAAAAAGTCTCACAACGATATATATACTACAGAAGCCATACTATACGGGGACACCGAAATTAACTCTTAATGCGGGTTACTGATATTTCATTGGATCCTGCGATTACAATGACTCAATCCATCCAGTCTCCACCTCGTAATTGATATGACACAAAGATCGAAACGGCCTTGGTTCCAATTTGTTGCCCCGGCGATATTCTCGAGTCCCTGGCTACCAGGGATATGTGGTCAAAGACCCATAAGTCACTCCCACTCAAACACCTCATAATCATACTCGTAATCGTAATCGTCGTCAACATAGTCGGCTTTGCTCTTCCGGCAGCAAGTCCAACATCTCTAGCCAATCCCATTAGGAAGGAACATGGAAATTACCATATATCTCCTTAGAATACGTACATTCATCTTCTTGGCGTACTGTTGTGGAAGGGTTAGTGTGCTCAGGAGTTACGATATCTATGACCCTGCATAACATACCCAGCCTTTTGGGCAATGGTGCTTGCTGCGGTAGCATTGCTTCCGACAGACCTCAGCAGAGTCAAACGAGGTGGCAGCTGTCCCAGAGAGAAGAACAGAGGTAGTCACAAGGATGATGGTGGAAAGCTTCATATTGAAAACCTTGATGGGGATATCACGACTGGAGCAAGGGTAACGTTATCTCAGAATGCTGCGATCTTAGTGAATTGCGGGTAAGCTTTGGCGTTCTGGAACTTAGACTGATCGAAAGCAGCGGATGAGAAGTGACTTTATATGCAGAACGAGAGTAAGGTTTACTGTATATACATTGTTCTACGGTAGGTGAGACAGAATGATTGCGGGGAGCATGACCGACTTGTTTCGTATGCAGCTATCCAGATATCCAGCCGTACAACCCTTTCCCCATGCAATCCGACAGGTGGATCAAAATGCCGTATCCAGAGATTTCCAACATTGAAGCTGGTTGATCCAGTGTGATGAAAGGTGACCAATATCCAAGCCTCCGACTAGAAGGACGGCTGTGCACAAACCATGGGTCTCGCTGCACCCGGGTTTTTACAATGAATAATGTATACGGGATCGGAATCACCGGGAGCCTCCGAGGGGTACCGTCCTTCGTTATACTTCGAGGTTTGTAGGCGCCGTTCCATATCTCGTGCGACTCTCTACGTTCCTATGCTATGACTTCTTGTGAGCTCAGCGGAGATATCCTTGTTCAAACCTCATGCGTGGTAGTACGGAGTAACTGCGCGGAATATGTGGAGAGACTTTCTCTATTGTGCAATATTGTCCTATCAATACTGACGTAGAAGCTGTACTTAGAAGATACCAAATGGTGTTCTAAAATAGCACATACGGCCACAGGCCCGGGGTGTGGAGAACAGGGCTTCCTGTCCGCTCAGCTGTACTGAAGCTGTATAATACAGGGTTCATGGTTAAAGAGTCCTTTAGTTAACTAAAGATTTAGAATAAAAATATCAAAGTCTTTAGTACAAGTACTGATAATAGGATGCTGATCTTGATATATTTATAGTAGGAGTAATACTGGCCAGATAACATATTGTCCATTGATTCTAATGCAGCTAGTTATTTTCTTGCCACCTGGTAACCAAGTATTAGCTCATGCGATAAGATGAAATGTTGGGTATGCTCACCTATGCCCGCACTTGACGCAGGTATAAAATATGGTGCTTCCTTCATCGGCACTTCTAAGCTGCACCTGCGCATAGTAGACCTCTTTGGATGGGCATTTGACACAGTCGATGTCCATGGTAGGCCCAGTCACACCTTTCACAGGTGCCTGGGTATGTGATCTCAGTCTATTTCACAGCCTTGACGGAAAGTTTTCGGAGGTTGACATTTGTGTATGATGTAGTGCTTTATCTATATAGAGTTAATTGGTTAGCTTAGTAGTATAAAGAACGGTAGATAAGATTACTCTTCTCAGTTTTTCCACACAGTTCACACTCTAGAATCTCGCTTGGAGACTCATTGAGAAGATTCCCACACGCTTCACAAAATTGGACGCCGATTGCTTTGGTGAAAAGGCTGGAATGGTTTAAACTATTTGCAAAGGTTGTTTCGAAAAGTCTGGGTGACACTTGTCACGAGAGATGGATAAAAATGTGCTTGGGTAGGAGGTTTTTTTCTCGTACCTATCGCGCTATATGGGGAGAAACAAAGCAGGAATACATCAAAAGAAGGCCGACCCAGAATCTGCTTCATAAATTATAATACTAGAAGTTCGCCAGCTGTCAGCATTCCTTGGCGAAGAACGCGAGCTCTGGTTGGTCCGAATCGCCCGTAACGTTAACACCACGAGGAGAGGTTTTGATTTTGTCCCTTTCTCTTTCTTTTTCTTTTTGTTTTTCGTGGCCAAAGGTATAGAAGGGTGTTAGCTCTGACTGTTTCAGAAATTTGTACAAGGAGGCTAGCTAGAAGCTGGGTGAGTGGCCACAGATATTGATGCGGCAATTCCTATAATCCGGTTTAGCTACGGGTTCATGCATTGATATCACCGTGGTGTGTATGACGTGAAGCGTCAGCTTTAAGAATACTTAGCTATCATTGAAATTGTAAAGCTGACTGGAAAGGCTATGCTCCAGATGATCTGATATATCGCACTGCTCCGATGCTAGGGGTGAAGCTTTCTGTATGCACTGGAAGAAATTCGCTGTGATAGGCCCATTTAGCGAGGCTGGACATAATCTTACACGTGAAGAAATCGGCGGTTGTGGTGTATCTACTACAGCTGCTTTTACATGTTCAATTCACCTTCGTGTATCAATATGTCCCGGCGTGAGCTATTCTGATATGCAGTATGATGTTGCTTTATCTCCGTGGAATCCCATCGAGAACAGATTTGGGACAGTTTAGTTTCGCTGTCATCATTTCCTACGTGGTTGGCCTACGTTGTTCGAATACCCAGTGTGGAACAGTGAGGTTAGACTTGGAATGATGGTATTTGTACCTGGCTATACAAGTTTGATTGATCTCATAAGTCGAATATTTGCTAAGCGTTGATCTTGGCTCCTCTATTGCGAGGTAGATTGCAATATAGTTTAACCGCCTGGGACAGGCAGAGCTGTGACGAAACATTAGCACAATCTCCGCTAGGATAGTGAGACCACTCACCCAATCACCCGGGCCATGGGACCTTTCGTGGAAGCATGCTCTCTAGCAGATACTCGAGGTAGTGTCGGCCACCGAGAAAAGCGGACCAGAACTTACTCCAGAGAGCATCATTGTCACAGCGGCGATGGCAGTGGGGATCTTCATCTTTACAAAAGGACATTGTATCGAAGGGGAATCTGTTAAAGATCGAAGTGTAATAGTTCCCATGTAGGGCATCCGGAGTAATAGTATTCATATGGGACCCCAGCTGTGCCGTCTCGGAAAACGACTTTATCATGAATACAATATGATGTATAGCAATGGCTTATACAGAGGGTGTTTCAGTGGAAAGTTAAATGGGAATACTTGTACATAATGAATTGGCTTTATGGATAGGGTTAAGAAGTGACTAGTCTGTGGCCTTGTGGTCCGATAGTCTAGTGTACCTATAGCATATAATCCCGGGCGAATACAGTCTGAGTCGCTGGGGCAGTCTCTCCGTCCTCATACTAGATGTTGATATCCCGGGGTTACATCATTTGTCCCCTGTTGCACGCCACATTACATGCACCGTGACCCTGGGTGAGATTCAAAGCGTCTCAATTACATTCACATGTTTTCACAATCCAGGTCAGTATTGATCTACGTCGTGTCCAAGCCTTCGCGGGGGAGCATCTCATTTGTCAAGATAAACCATGCTGAATAGAGCACGATGCAGGTCATTTCATTAGCCACTGTCTTATGGAGAACGCAGAACAGGACGACAAGAATCAAAAGAATAGACCTCAATATCGTCTCCAAGCCCCCAGGGAACAGACATTAGCTTAGTCATTATCAATCAATGGGCTCTGCTGCTTTAATCGTGTAGTTAAATCCCCAGACAGGCGTACCCGCGTACACAGCTTCCGTTTTGACCTCAACCCCTGTCTTTTTCGATTTAGAATAAACGGTACAAGGAACAGTAAGGGTGCTTCGGTTGAGTGATCCCACTACCTCCTTTCTCATGCGGCCTGGAACCGGGGTCTCCACGTCTGCGCCAACGTCTCTCTCCCGGGTGGTGCTCTTTCCCCACTCGAAATTGTTCACGACACTATATTCCGTGGTGATCTCACCGGATGCAACTCCCGGAATTCCAAAGCTCGCCTTCGCACCAACGGTGATCGTAAAGCCGAGCGAATACGTAAAGGAGCTGGTTTCGCCAAACTTGTCACCCAAATGCCCTTTAATATTCGCTGTCAGAGTATCTTCATTCCGCAACGTTATACTCATCACGTTTGGCACCGGTCCCGTCCCAGATATGGTGCCCTTGTCAATGTGATACTCGACACGGTCAATCTCGGTATCCTCAAACAGAAACATCCAGTGCTGGTCAGGGTACTTCGTATTATTGGCACCATAGTTACCCAAGTCCCTGTGAGCACTGGAGGCTAGAACTGTGGTTGAGTAGTCGTTGCGAATCCGAAAACTACCCAACTGGTCGCCCGTTCCAGGCTCAAGTACCATGCGCTGGTCCGCGTTCCCTTTCTCGTAAATCCCAACACCCCCACTCTTTGAATAGATCACCTTTCCACCATTAGGACCGTAGGTGCTTTTGATGTAGTATTTATTTTCCTCCTCAGAATCCTCAAGAGTGAACCATTGGTCATCGTAGATTACCCCCCCGCCGTAGTCGTTGAGAACATCGTTCTTGGCAACGATGACTTTGTTCGTATACTTGTTGATGAGGCGGAATCGGAGGCCATTGGGAGGAATGTAAAGATCTGACATGTTGCTGTGGGAGCGAAGTGGTAGGTTAATATTATGGATCAGGAGTGAATTTGGGCTGTTTGAGCAAGTGTAGGTAGTTATGGGGTGGAGTTCGATATATCGGCGGCCCTTTATTTATATATAGCCTTCTATCGGCGTGAGCCGTGCTCCGCTGAACCGCCTCAGCTACGCCCTCCTCACAGCTCATTTCCAGCATGATGCATTCCACCATGATAGACATGGAAACGCCGATGCTGGAAGCTGTGGCTGGCTGAGAAATGGTGGAGCTTGCGTCTGCCTATTCTGTAGCACCTCAAAGCATACAGGCAAAAGGGCACCTGGTACGCGGATAAAGGGTAGTAGAACTCTATCGAGTTATCGCAAGCCAACCAAGATCTGAATGTGAAAATTGACCTGCAGGTGAGTCTCCACTTATGACACTAAGAAATAGACGAGGCAAGCGGGCCGCTCCGCCCCAGGTGAAGAAAAATGTGATGGAGTGGTCAACCCCACTTTGTCGGCCACCTCATCAACAGCAGAAGTCATATTTTCCAAACTTTCATGGAGAGACGTTAGTGTATCCTGCGTTTTGAAGCGGAGTCTACCGGTTGATCCACTGTTCTATGGATGGTATCCTAAGCTCACTTGGCATCATCTCAAATTGTCTATGAAGTCCATTGAGTCTGGCTGGTGCTGCGCATGCAAGAATAGCACCATCATGATCGCGTGTCTCACTTCAGCTCCAGTTCCGAAGAATAACAAGCAAGCCCAGCTACCCCTCACATCTCCACGCCAACCTATGCATGCAAGATAGATGTGATGAGTTGTTCAACTGCAGAATAGATTAGCTGAACAACAGCCTGTTGATCACATTCAGTCAAGGCAAAAATGCCTCACTACTGTCTCCCTATTGCGAGTGGCCAATATTACTCGATACAGAACTCACTTCCTTCGGTGCTTTCCGTATATACATTAGGGCGTGAAAATGGACACCCCTCAGCTTGACCCCTCTCTACCCTACCTGATAGATTTAATAATTGCCTCTGAAATAGTTATTCTAACCATGCAGTATCCTCTACGTAAGTCTCCCAAAAGCCCTGTTCTTCGTCTACCATTGTTGCTTCCCAACCCGGCCGTATTTACATCTCTCTGCACGAGCGACAAACATGCCGTTCCGGAAGCAATAATGTTAGTTGCTGCTTGTCCTGTGCAATAGTTCATCTTTACTGCTTATGCAAAACTTGCTTGTCTCCAAATCTCTTTGCCATCCCTGCTTTTTTTCCATTGTTTCACGACCGAACATGTGGAGTGTGTGTCTTCCAGTGCAGGGTTGGAATTATGCAATGAAATATTTACCAGCGCACGTCTCCAGAGGAAAAGAAGAATGTTTCAGAATACGAGGCGGGTTTCTGATTTAATAGTGGAACTCAGTTCTGTAATAAGATATTCTGATATGGGATACTACCGTAAATATATAATCTGTATCTTGCAAGAGCGGGTGTCAGGGCTGGTCCCCAAATGTAACCAAAGCACATATGACTCAGATACTGGGTTTGATATATCCTGGATCGCTCGGTACATGGCTATGTATATATATATCTAGTAGCCTGCCACAAGTGGCGACAATACCCGCATCTAGAGATCAGCGGGTTCGGGGAGTGTTTGGGTTAGTCTGCCAAAAGCCCGACCCAGGGAACACTCTACCAGGATCCGACAGTGAAGATGTAGTAAACCAGGAGAAGATATTACGTGGAATAAATACATATTCATTATATTCTTCTGTATCTCCTTCGATCTCATAATCACTCTGAGTACTCGGGCTGTGGTCAAGCACCCCAAAAGGAATGGTTGGCATTGACCATTGGTAGTTAGTCAAGTAGCTGGAACGCCGCTGGGATTGTTCTAACCCGGACTGATGCTTAACACACTCCAAGGTATGGAAGAGATTGGTTTTGTATTATGCATGTTGTAGCAGCTAATTTGAGAGGATGCTTTCATGTTTCCCCAACCTAAGCGAAGAGCTGTTTCTCGAGGCCTCGGTATCTTATGGTAGTGATATACCCGGCGGAGAGAAAGCCGATACATGTTTTGCAGGCGCCTCTCGGGCCGTTCCCGATGATTATCAGATCTCCGCATTGCGAAACACAATATATCAAAAGGTTAAATCTACGTTATAGACACGAAATGCAGCGATGAACATGACGACTTCAGATTATATTGTTTCTCTAGCGGAGGCTCAGGCACGGCTCCCTCCTCCGGTAGAATCCAGTCAGTTGCTTGAGGAAATCGCTCAGCAGCTGGATCAGCTTCCTATCCTCGTGGTGCTGGATGATGATCCTACTGGCACCCCAACATGCCACGGAATCAATGTCCTGACAGTGTGGGATGAAGCAACGCTGGTCGAAGAGTTCCACACATGCGACCGTGGATTCTTCATACTCATGAATTCGCGCGCGCTCCCTACCTCTGAAGCGCGGAGCCTTATATCCGAAGTCTGTACAGCTGTCAAGCGAGCAGCAACCGAAGCCCAGAAAACGTTTGAAATCGTCCTACGCGGCGACTCGACCTTACGCGGACATTTTCTCGATGAGATTCAGGTGGCTGAGGAGGTAATCGGGCAGGTAGATGGATGGATCCTCGCACCGTTCTTCCGACAAGGAGGAAGATTCACCATTGACAATGTTTACTATGTGGCCGATGCCCAAGGGAATCTGGTTCCGGCCGCCCAGAGTACTTTTGCAGAGGATGCGGCCTTTGGATACACAAGCTCCAATCTCATCGACTACATAGTCGAGAAGTCAGATGGCTCAATTCCTCGCCACCGTGTGCGGTCTATCTCGCTGCAGGATATCAGGGAGGGGGGTGTATCCGTTGTGGCACAAAGGTTACTCGAGTTCGCTCCGAGATCTGTTATCATAGTTAACGCGATAGTTGATACTGATATCGAAATCTTTGTGCTTGGTCTACTACAGGGTACGTATCACTAGTGAGCTAATTCGTCAAATATGTTTGCTGACATACTTCTCCAGCGAAATCTGCCGGTCGGGACTATCTTTATAGAACAGGAGCTGCCTTTGTATCCACGCGGTTAGCGATGAGATCACAGCCTCCTCTCAGTGCACGCGATCTGGAACTGGACAGAGAGGCGTCTTCTCCAGGCGGATTGATCATTGCTGGGTCCTACGTATCGAAGACGACTGATCAGCTTCAACATCTGACTTCAGGCCGTGGGTCCAAGCTAAAGGTTATCACTCTGGATGTTGAGTGTCTACTCCGCAGTAGTGAAAGCAGCTACACAACCGCACTTCGTGCTGCTGATGAGGCTAGTGGATATATTTTAGACGGACAAGATGTCTTAGTCATGACAAGCAGACACTTGGTTAGCACCCACGACGGACTATCGAATTTGCAGGTTGGAACCATCGTATCCAGTGCATTGGAGTTGCTTCTACGGCTGTTCATTCCCCGGCCTCGATATATCATTGCCAAGGCGAGTTGCCCTCCATTCCAAAGGATGATGTGAGCTAACATATGCAATGCGGTATAGGGCGGCATCACTTCGTCAGATATAGCAACGAGAGGCATGCGCATACGACGTGCCCAAATCATCGGCCAAGCATCAGCGGGGGTACCTGTCTGGCGCTGCGATGAACCATCGTCTAAGTTTCCCGGCATCCCATACGTCATTCTCCCCGGCAATGTCGGTCACCAAGACGCGTTGCTAGATTTGGTTACGAATTGGGAAAGCAGAAGCCCCGAGAAACGGCCAAAAATGCAATACCAACGACTTGGTAATAGTGGATTGAAAGTGTCGAAGATCATCCTTGGTTGCATGACATTCGGCAATCCGTCATGGGAAGGCAGCCCATGGGTTCTTCCAGAGTCCGAAGCGCTCCCGCTACTGAAAAAGGCATACGACTGTGGAATCAACACATGGGATACTGCCGACACGTATTCCAACGGGATGTCTGAGATCCTGATCGGAAAGGCTCTCGAGCAATATAATATTCCACGGAGTAAAGTTGTCGTCATGACCAAGCTATACTACCCGGTCCTTGAAGCAGATTCGAATGCTCGACCCAACCCTGCAGTCAACGATGGCGACCTGGTCAATCAGATGGGGCTCAGTCGGAAGCACATTTTTGAGGCGGTGGACGCATCTCTTGCTCGACTGAAATCCAGCTATATAGACGTTTTACAGCTACATCGCATTGATGATACCCACCCCGAAGAGGTCATGCGCGCTTTACATGATCTTGTTCAAATGGGTAAAGTTCATTATCTGGGCGCGTCAAGCATGTATTGCTGGCAGCTCGCGAGACTACAGTATGCCGCAAAAATGAACAATTGGACCACATTCACCAGTATGCAGGGTCTGTACAACTTACTGTATCGTGAAGAGGAGCGTGAGACAAACAGATTTTGCCATGCCGAGAGGATTAGTTTGACTCCTTGGAGTCCCTTGGCTCGCGGGCTATTGGCCAGACCATGGGATGTCAAGACTGATCGATCTGTGAAGGACACAAAGACTGCAAAGTGGTTCTCTGGTGAGCAGGATCAGAAGATTGTTACAAGGGTCGACCAACTTGCGCGGTCGAAGGGATGCAGCATGAGTGCACTTGCGATAGCATGGTTGTTGAAGAAAGGCGCTTGTCCAATCGCCGGGTTGAATAGTATCGAGAGGATAGAGTCTGCGTCTGAGGCGCTGGCAGTTCGTTTGAGTGATGCTGATCTAAGATTTCTTGAGGAACATTATAGGCCTCTTCCTGTGCAAGCGATCTAATTGCTGTCTTTAGTCTCGCATGGTGTGGGTACTAAGCGAAGAATGTATGGCTGATTCATACTCTCCTATATATATATCGAAAATTGTGTTGAATCCGCTTCTATTGTTATTTTCCTATTGTGTGGTTGGTTGGATATCTCACTGCTTCTATTATTCTATACCCTGTGCCTTTTCTATTTTTGGTTTTTTTTT